CCTCCGCGCACTTCGCTCACACACACACAAACTCTCCTCACCATCACGAATCTCACTCACTCATCGACCTCCTTGGTCACTCTCTCTCTCCATGACCTTCACCATGTGCTTACACTCATTTTACACAAAATATCCACCCTCTCTCACAGACCTCTCCGACTCTCCAACATCTTCATTCTCTCTCTTCCTGTGGCCTCCTCTGTGAACGCCTCCACTATTCAACCTGCCATCCACACCCACCTGTCTCTACATCTTAGTTCTATTACTCTACATACTAACAAAAACCTAGATTTCTCAACCTAAAATCACAATCTCGAAATCGCTCCACACCTATACAAGAACTCAAAATTTTATTGTACTTTCCATCTCCATCTTCCTTCCTCCCGTAGCTCGCACTATTCCGGTCTTCCTTCCTGTTCACTCTTTTTTCTCGTTTCTCTCCAATCCAGCTCCTCTCTCTCTCGAACCTTCTCTTCCCGCCCCCGATCTCTCTCTTCTTTGTTTTCTTTCTTTTTCTTTCTTTTCTTTCTTTTTCTTTCTTTTCTTTCTTTTCCTTTTTTTCTTTTTTTTTTCCTTTCCCGTCTCCTATTTATATCCCACCAGCCTCTCATCTTGCTCGTCCATCTCACCTCATCCCAACCGTCCACTTTTCCCTTCTCCAAACAATGTCATTTCCTCATCCACTTCTCCAAACGACGTTGTTTTCCTCCCCCTCTTCTCCAAACGATGCCGTTTCCTCCCCCTCTTCACCAAACAACGCCGTTTCACCTCTGAAATTCTCACCCTACCTATACATCTATACATACATGCCAATTTTCTTTTTTTTTTTCAATTATTACACAGACAAATGGCATTGACTTATGACGCTGTCATTGCAGAAGTCTTTTTTATCTGTGGATGAAGTAATCTTTCTTTGATTTTATGCTTTAAATTTTTTTATTTTTAATTTTATTTAAAATAATTAAAAATAATTTAGATATCATATTATCATATGCTTAATATTTAATATAAATATTAATCTGATTAAAATATGTTATACATCTAATTTTAATTTACATAACACTTTTAACAACAATTTTAATGTGCATTAACAATTAAAGACTAATTATAATTTTTTTTAAAAAATACAGGCTAAATTTATAAAAAAATATAATATAATAATTAATTTAAATATTTAAAAATTGTATACGACTAATTTAAGTTTTATCTCATAATTTTTTTGGAAGTAATATTATTTAATTAGAGGATATAAGAGCAGAATAAAAAATCAACATTAAAAGTTTTAAATATTTTTTCCCTTTCTTTCTCCTAATTTAAGAGAATGGAAAATTAATTTTTTTAGAAGGAAAAAAAAAACTAGATGCTCAATATTTTTTTAATTTATTATTTTTAAAATATTTTTCTCAAGTAAATGGACTTTTTCTTTCTCACTATTCTCATTCCAAATATATATATATATGTATGCGTGTGTATAATTTTCCAACTATTTTCAATTTTTACATTATATTTATTTATTAAAATTAATGATTTAATTCAATTCGAATTTTAATTATGTGAATAAAAATAACAATATACAAATATTAATAAAATTTTAAGTAACTATTGTAAATAATTTAAATAAAAATAAAATAATTTAAGCCGAGCTTCAATTTTTATTCATAGCTAATTCTTGTCTTGGCCCCAATGAATGATCTCCGTCCGCATTTCCCTCAACCTTTCTATCGTCTACACCCCGCCATTTCGATTCCCAGAGCTCTTTCTATAACTCAAACATCCTCATCATTCAACTCTCTCTTTTTGACGAAAAGAAAGTAGAAGCTCTCTCTAAATCCTCTCTGGTTACTGTTCGAGAAATGGATCCAATTCTTCCGGTTACGGTGCTTTCGCTTCTCCTCGGTTCTTTGATTGCTTTCATTTTCCTGCAGAGCTACTTTCGCAAGAGAAGATCCGAAGTTCAATCTCTTTCCAACCCGGAGCTCCACGCGGATCCCAAGAAGCCTTCAAAGCCTCCTCAGTCTATCTCCAAAAGATCTCACTCCAAACCTCATTCTCATGCTTCTGATAAGGTTCTTGATCTTAGGCACTTCTTGGGTGCAGAGAGAAATAGTAATTGTGAAGGGAGACGAATTTCTTGTATCTTTATTCTTACTGAAATTATGAAAGAAAACCTGGAACTTTATAATGAAGACATCGTACTAAGCTATATTCCCGAATGGGGATTTTTTTTTTTCATTTAATTTCTAATTACGTTTTCTAATTTAATTTTCCTACTTCACTTGGTTATGAAAGAGGATTGTTATGGTTTAAGGGAGATTTTTATAGTGGATTCCGTTGGTTATAATTTGCTGATGGAAATGCAGGATCATAACAAGCGGCATCACCCCTTAGATGTGAACACTCTGAAAGGCCATGGGGATTCGGTCACGGGTTTATGTTTCTCTTCTGATGGAAGGAGCTTGGCTACTGGTAAGAAGTTCTTTTTTTTTTATCTTTTCCTCTTCTATTAAAATGCACAAATAATAGTTTCTGCAGCTCAAGTTTCTTCTCTAGCTGTAACTGTAGAAATGATTTGTTCGTTGACGGAGACTTCTGACTGGTTAAACCTGTTTTCTTTCTTTACTATGCTCTGTGATCGAGTCACCATTTTGAGTTCTACAATTTTTAAATGAAGCACAATAACCAGATCCGTTGAATGGCTTAGTTTCCATCAGTTTAATGAGAGATTGGAACATGTTAGTTAAATGGCTAGCCGTAGTTTGTAACACGGGCTTCTTCCAAATGATCAGACTTTGAGGTTGCATAATAAGCCTAATCACATTTACATTATGCATTTATGTAATCTCAATATTAATCAGCTAATACCTTCTTCCCACTTTAAAAGCAGCTCTTACATGGAGCATACATCTAGTAATTTTTGGTGATTTATTTATTATGATGTGAGTTTATTTCTACCCTACCTGATTATGATTTTTTAATGTTTGTCAACAGCTTGTGCTGATGGAGTGATCAGGGTGTTCAAGTTGGATGATGCTTCAAGTAAAAGTTTCAAGTATGCAGTGGAAGAATGCTTGTTTCAATTTCACGGCAGTCATAATGCTAGTAGTGCAAGTAGATTACCCTTGCATTTATTCTCATTTTATTTTCTTTTGTTCTTCTTTTTCAGATTTCTTAGAATAAATGTGCCTGCTGGGGGTCATCCAACAGCTGTTGCATTTTCTGATGGTCCATCTTCCGTAGTTGTGGCTTCTCAAACTCTATCTGGTAGTTCTTTGTATATGTATGGAGAAGAAAAACCCAAGGCAAATGAACAAGGAAAGCTTCCTCTTCCAGAAATCAAATGGGAACATCACAAAGTACATGAGAAAAGAGCAACGCTGACGCTATCTGGAGCAACTGCCAGCTATGGTACTGCAGATGGCAGTACTGTCATTGCCTCTTGTTCAGAAGGTATATGCTGTTAGTATATCCTGCATTAGATCTTATATTTGTTTTTCGCTTAATAAAATTGGGATTCTATAAATTATTTTAGCTGTTTGCTAATACATTATTTGTTAGGGATTGGGCTTTCTTTAATTGTTAGAAGAATTTATTACTGTAGCTTACCTTATAGGTGGCAGTTTATTGAGTGTACGGGCAGGGATACAGTGTTGGCACCGCAACAAGCGAACCAGATACCAGAATCTTTTTTCTCCCTTGGCTTAACTAATGTCAGAGAAACTTTTCTGTTTGAGTACTGATCTGGCATGTCACAAATTGCCATGTCACTATTGTAGATTTGGCTATAAAACCCTCTAGCTCAGTTGCAAGGCCTCACTACATTTTTGTGTTATCACTGAATGTTTTTTTAATGGCAGAGTTAACATCTGGGCTTTATAGCAATGTGTTTATTTTCTTGGCCTCTGTATTAATGGAAAAACATAAAGTTTTTCTATATAACATGATGAACATGAAATGTTTTTTAATATAAACAATCGTGAACATAAAAATTAATCATCACATTTCTCTCTGGAGATATGGCATCTTTCTTTTTTTTTTTAAAGGTATTGAACTCAAAATTACAGACTTTCTCCTCTGAATTGCATTTGTGTCTTCAGTTTAATGGAAGAGTACATGTTTTGTGTGCCTCAAATCTTTTCTTATTTTCTAGGGACCGATATCGTGCTTTGTCATGGGAAGACTGGAAGGATTTTTGGAAATGTTGACACTAATCAGTTGAAAAATCACATGGCTGCTCTATCACCCAATGGACGTTTTCTTGCTGCTGCAGCTTTCACCGCGGATGTGAAGGTGATTTCCCCCTGCACATCAACTTTGGTTATGAGTAGTTGCTAAATTCATATTAATAATGGAAAGTCTCTTGAAATCCTGCCCCCAGGAAAATCGGTGCTGATTGTGCTAACTGGTTGTTTGGTGCACATGGAAGGAAAAATACATAGTAGTTTGGATTGGTTGTGGTGTTTCTAAGAGATGGAATTTTCTGGTCGTTATCTTTTGGGGTTCCACCCTTTTTTAAAATCTTTTATATTTGTATCTGATCACACACTTTTCCTTTCTCTAATACCAACTTGGTTTAGTAATCCGTCTCCTTCAACAATTATATTTATTCAATATCTTTCGTCACTTATTCAAAGTCTTCAACATTTCCTTGGATTCTCTGCTAACTTCATCTTTAGCTTCATATAGGCAAAAGTAACTGTTTTTGCTTGAAAGTATTTAAGTCTGTGGAAAAAAATTTACTTTCTATTTGCGATTTACCAGATTTGGGAGATCGTATATACAAAGGATGGTTCTATCAAGGAGGTTACAAAAGTTATGCAGCTTAAAGGACATAAGGTATCATATTTACCACCTATAGAGTGTTTAGAATTGGTTTCAACTCCTTTCCAAACTTTCTTTTGTGTGCCTTATCTTGCTTTTTTTGGTTTTCCTTTGCTTGGGCATTTCCAAAAAAAAAAGAAAAAAGAAAACATGTGTTCATTTAGTTAATCATTCAATAAACGCTTTGTACAGTCTCAAGATATCAAAAAATGCTCCTATAACTTTTTTTTTTCACTCTATTCCAGCTATTATGCTGTATTATATCAAGTGGAATATGGCTAGAGTATGTGTAAGGTGGTGTGCATGTTATATACGTATATATAGATAGATAGATAGTGAAGGTAGAGAGAGAGAGAGAGAGAGAGAGAGAGAGAGAGAGAGAGAGAGAGAGAGAGAGGGAAATGAGGAGGTAGGGAGGGTCGGAGTATGGTTACCTCATTATTGCACTTATCATTAATTCAAATTTTTGCTCTCAATAAATAAACAAATATCTTTTGAACTTTTGGACTTTATTAGCTTTTGTCCTTTAATTTATGTCTTTAGTAACTGATTCCTGGTGACCTGGATTTTCTTCTAATGCAAAATTCTTCACTCTCTCTCTCTCTCTTCTATGTCCAGAGTGCTGTGACTTGGCTGTGCTTCACTCCAAACTCTGAGCAAATCATCACCGCATCAAAGGATGGTTCGATAAGAATTTGGAATATCAATGGTTTGTGTTCTTGCATCTTTTGGCTTAACTGCTCCCTTCCACCTGTGTCCTCGCTTTCTATTCATATATGGAAGTCATGCACTGTTGTTTATATTGCCATCAAAATGGCAACTCATAATTTCTTCTCTGAATTGAGATTTGGAAGAAAGAAAGAAAGAAAAATATAATCGTGATAACTAAAATTTGAACATCATGTATTGAAAATCTTTTATCTGTCTTTTCAAACTTGGCTTCATCGTTGAGTTGGGTTTGGATTGCTTTTAAATTAGACTTCTGGAAGTTTCAATTCCAACAGTGTTATGCCTAACCCTTTTTCTACATGCAATCTTTGAAGTTCGCTATCATCTTGATGAGGATCCGAAGACTCTGAAGGTGTTTCCAATTCCACTTACGGATTCAAGTGGCACTGCTTTCCACTATGATCATCTCAGTATATCTCCTGATGGAAAGATATTGGCAGTAACCCATGGTTCAACATTGCAGTGGTTATGTGTTGAAACTGGAAAGGTTTTGGATACAGCTGATAAAGCCCATGAAGGTAATCATGATTTTCTTGAGCTATAAATATTTACTTGTGTCTTTTTAACAGAATGGCTATAGCTGTCTACCCTGGATTACCCTCCGAAGGGAAAAAACTACTTGTTTAGTTCTTCCTTCAACAATATATATTGTGGGGTCTATTTTCGAAGTCCAGATATGCACGGAATAATTGCTTTTCAGGTTCATTATTGACAATAACCCATCTGTGCAGGGGATATTACATGCATTTCGTGGGCACCTAGGACCATTCCAGTTGGTAAATATCCTTGCTTGAAAGTTTATTATCTTATCTTTTCTATGAATAACGCCAGCTTTATCATGTTGTTCTACAGGAGATGGAGAAGCCTTGCTTTTAGCTACGGCCAGTGTTGACAAGAAAGTCAAGTTGTGGGCAGCGCCGTCCCTAGGTTCATCATAGAAGAGTGGTAGGTCTTTCAGTTCACTGATGCGAAGCGTTTGCATAACCATTTGACTAGAAATCAGGTGTTTGTGACTCGGAAGTCCTTAATTGCGGGAGCGGTAACCTGAGAAAAGATGTGTAGCTCTTTCAATACAGCCAAGAGTTATATAGCATGTAGTACTAGGTCTTTGCGGGCAAGACTTTCTATAGAAAAAAAAATACTATGTTGGTATTTTCTTTGAGAGTGATGTTATAAAAATTTTGTAGACTAAAGAAAGATTCATAGCCGTATAATGTCAATGGTTTTTTGCATGATTTTATTAATTTGATAACGTTATAAAGAACATCTAAAAGTTCAACTGGTTAAGCAAGGAAAAAAAAAAAAAGGAAAGGCGTATGCATACTCTTGTTGATTATTTAGATAAAATCTGTTGTTCTTAGTCATCGCAAAGGGTGCAAGAATTGCAAAAAGAATACGTTGGCTTGAGAAGTATTGCAAAACACGCCCACCGTGGGGCTCGAACCCACGACCACAAGGTTAAGAGCCTTGCGCTCTACCGGCTGAGCTAGACGGGCTGATGATTGCATGTTCCCAATTATTCTATTTGATGGTTGTTTGTTATTTAATTTCTATTTCCGGAAATCAAGCAGTCCCAGTAAGCCCTGCCAAAACTAAAGTTTATATAAAATAAGAAAAGAGGGAAGTAAATTAGAGGATGTTAACCATAAACTTATAAATTATTCAATCACATTATATATTTAGTACATAGAAATAACAAACAACTTATATAAATTGCACAAAGCACATAAGTTTTTGCAATAATACTCGTAGAAAGTAGTTCTGATTAGCTTTTATTTTAGAGAGCCAAAAAAATTTCCAGAAAATAAATACTATGTCATGTCATGTTATTTACTAAGTAGTAGCAACAAAATGATATTCAGTTTTTGGGCTTTGTTTGGGAAGTTTGCTCTTCATTTCTCACAGTTTCTCCTTCGCCTGTCACACATCACAAATTAAAAGGCAAATATATATATATATATATATATATATAGATATAGATATGTAATTACATGAGAATGGAATCGTCAAACCTTTTTGAAGATAGCCTTTTGATAACGATAGCCCTGTGAAGAGAGATCATAATTATAGGTGAATTTAACTTTAATTCAGTGAAAACCAAACAAAGCCTTTAAACTTTTGTTCATATATACAAATTAAAGGTGTTGGGTTATGATAATGTACTTTGTCGGTTCCATAGATGTAATCACAGTAGGTGAAGACCGATGCGAAATTGTTTCCACATTGAGCTCCGACGTAGTGATGATAATCATGATACTCTGCTCCTCCATAAAATGGAATGAACTTTGCAGGACTCCATGGAAACTCATACCTAATCGTACTTAATTTAATTATGTATTTAATAATTTCAATTCTAAAAAAAAATTATGTTACTCTGACTGACCCGCTATGCGTTTCAATTGACTCAATTTGTCGTAAAACGAACCATAGCCAGAAGGTGAGGATGTGGCCGGGGACGATGGCGGGGCCGAGAAACGAAGGAAGGCCGAGCAGTAAAATCTCAGCCCAGTGAGCGTAGGGTGCGGCGAGCGCCATGGGAGAACTGAACTCGTGGTGCATTCTGTGGATCTTATCGTACGCCCATTCACAATGCAGTAACCGGTGGATCCAGTAGTTTGAGTAGTCCTCTATTAAGAAGTATACAAGTATTTGACATGACATTTCCCACCCGCTCGGCAACTCTAAATTGGTTCGGATCCCAACCCACTAAAACCGCCCAATCGAAACACAAATCAACATATATATATATATATATTGTATTAAAAAAATATATAATTATACTATGTATATATGTTTAATTATTGTATTAAAAAAATAAATTAAGGTATTAGAGATAAATTAAATCTCATACGGATAGTAAAATAAATTATGTATGCTAATAAATTAGTGAGAAAATTAAAACAAGAATAAAAATCTCATAAAAAAGAAAAAAAATCTTCAAAATCGGTCAGAGCACCGCCCTGTCAAGGCGGAAGCTGCGGGTTCAAACCCTGTCAGTCCCGATCTACGATCCGATAAATCGATCAACTTAGCTCCGTCAAAAAAAAAAAAAAAAAATCAATTTTTTATTCTGAGAGTGGTAAGAGAAAGATGAATTAAACGGTCATCGAAATTTTTATTAAAAAAAAAAAAAAATTACTTAAAATAAAATATAATTTTTATGAGATCAAACATCACTATTCTAATAATCTATTATATTAAATTATTATTCGTTAAAAATTAAAATTAAATTATTAATAATATGTAATCTTTAGATTTGAGTTCAATTTTTATATAAAATTTAATAATTATAGAGTACAAAAAAATTATAAAGATATGAGACTTTTGAAACAATTGGTAACAAACAATTTATTAAAATAATTTTATAGCTGGAAAAGTTTATAATACATTTAAGTGTAATTATTTTTAATTTTTGAAAAGAAATAAAAGATTGTAATAAATAATTCTTAACAAAACAAAATTGAACGAATTAACTAATTTTATCCGAATAAATTTAATTTACCTTCACGACGGGATAAGAGAAGACTTGCAAGAAGCCGACGGTGAGGAGATAAGTTCGAATAACACGAGTGTAGCAAGTGAGCATGTCCGAAAATGTGTAATTCTTGGGTTGAAGCTTGTAAATTTGTGTCTTTTTGGAGCAGAGGAGATGGACGAGGATGTAGGGGAGAGGGGCCAAAGTGTAAAATAAGAAAAATAAGGGGAGGTTATGGTAATAAAGAAGAAAATCGGGTTGTTTTGCAGAATATTTGAACCATAATTTCTCAGCTCCACTTAGCTCCCTCCCAAGAGCTGTCTCTGCTTCTTGTAGATTGGCGTAAGGTAGCATCTTCCTTGTTTGTTTCTTGTATGGGGAAATGAATGAGATGATATATATATATATATATATATATATATTTATATACTCATGAGGGATACATACATACATATATATATATATATATAGTGATTAAAGTAAATTATAGTAAACACGTTCTTCATCAATATATTATTTTTTTTTTTAACTGATTAAATGTATTTTATAAAATAAATAAATAATTTTTTGAATAAAAATTAAAATATTGATAAATTAAGTGGTGGACAGACATCAATTATAATAAAATTGATAAATATATAATTTAAAAAATAAGAATTTATTTTTTTCTTCAATTAGTTATACTTACTTATTTAGTACATTATTTTCTAAATTGGTTAAGTGTTTTTTTTAAAAAAAAAAAAAACAAACGTGCAATTAATGAAAATTAATTTTCTAATATTTTGAATTTAGTTCAATTCTAAAATTTGCACTTATTTACCATATTTAGTTAATATAATATGACAAACTGCCTTCGTAAATAAACAAACAAATTTAGTACACGTAATTAATATTTATTTTAAAACTTAATACACACATATATATATATATGTTACGATTAATTATTTTTACCATGTTTTAAATATTTTAGTTAATGAAAATATGATACATTCAATAAAAATTTAAATACAATATTTCATGCTTCAAAGAGTCTAAACATTTTCCATTAAGTAAAATATTGGATTTAATATATACATATATGTATGGTTATAGACTGGAGGAAGCAGGATTTGGTTGCATGACCATTAGTAATTAAGGATGAAATCTTAGAATCTACAATCAGTCCTTCCCATATCTTCCCCATACAATATTTAATGAGAGTTTGGTCACTCACCCACTTCAGCCTTCCTCTTTAATTAACTCAGTACTTATGGTCCAGATTCCTATCCTCTCATAATTCTAAATTTTCAATTACTTACCACAATTTCTATTCTTTTAGCCAAAATATATATAATTAAAGTTTGCTGTCTTATATTTTTGTACTTAAAAAAATAGTTTATTATTTTAAATATTTTATTATCTTTCGTATCATAAGATTAGATTAATTGTGTTATTTGAATTATTACTATTTAATTTTTTAATTTAATTAAATATATATATCATCTAATTAATAAAATATATAATTTTTTATTTTTAAAAATATTTTTATTGTTATCCAAATTTATCCTTTATAACTCAATAATTTTTTCATATTCATTGATTAACTCATTATTTCGATTTAGAGTTTACATTTCTTACACAATACTTTAGAATACCTAATAAAATTACGAGAATGTTCATTCTAAAAAAATCAATGAAAATTAAAAAAATAAACGAAAAACAAATAACTAAGCAATCCTAAGACAACCTTCGGTAACTTTTGAAGGAAGTTCAAATGGTGAACTATTCACAACCCTCTTATTGATCGGGATCTGAATGTTGGTCATCTTGATCTAAAATATTTAATGAAAGGGATGAAATACACTAACCCAGTAAAAATATCACATTAATCACATATACGGAAAACTGAATATTGGTAAAAATCAAAAAATAACAAACGGAGCCTTTAATTTAATGTAAATTCATTTATTATAAAGAAAGTCATTTATTCCATATTTGTGTAACAAGTCATTCCCAACATAATTTATAAAAATTCATATTCATACACTATTATTTATCACATATAAGATAACAAAAAATGATCATTTTATATTTTTACCCACTTACCGGTATCTTTAAGGGTCCATATGAATGTCATCCTACTCGTGGACCCAATATCCAATTAAATAATTAATCGGCCATCCTCATACCCCATCCGATAATGGACATCAAACATTCTACCACTCGATATCCCGTCCAATATGAAGATGAACCATATCTCCCAAAACTTGTTGGTAAAGGATTTCTCAGCCCCATCTAACTGAAGTAACGTTCGCGGTAGGGTTCTCTATATACTGGATCCGTCTGCCATTTTCTGGATACCTAGTAAGTTTTTACCATACAAATTTTCAACCATGCAATAACTATATCTCATTTTATACTCACAATTCACTTAGACAACAATATAGTTTAACACAATTAAATTACCAATGACCGAAATATCAATATACAATGCAGGGGAAATAAATAACCAAAAAGACCCTAAAAATCATCAAATTTAGTTATGCATAGTATAATAGTAACCAAATATGGATAATACAGGAAAATAAATAGGAAATCGAAACGACCATGAACTAATCGATTTCGACTCTATTAGTGACCTATAATTATTTTTAAGGTTATCTAATTTTTTTATAAAATACACAATTATTAATTATTAAGCCTTAATTTACCATAACAGAGAAAAGTGTGAGGGATCCTTACCTGAATCGGTGTCCGAAATTTCAAATTTTCTATTGCACCTACTAATGGTATTTGGGTTTCATGAATTTTTCTGCGGAAATTAAAACACGCTTCACGTACCTAAAAATACCTCAAAAAATCCAAAATCGGTGTTAAAAATCCTTTCTGACCAATTTCAAAGTTCCAGCAGGGGGGCACCGCCGTGCTCCGGCAATGGCACCACCGTCCTTGGCGGTGATTTGCCTCGACCTGACCGTTTCCAACCAATGTTGGCCGGTTTCGGCCGCCTTTATACATATCCCTACGAAAACACGCTATGGAGTTTCGATTGGTAAAAAAAAATAAGAAAACGAAAACCTACCAGTGGTGGAGTTTTCTACGTGCGATGGCTCCTTCGGCTCACCTTCGCGGTTGGAATTTTTTCTTCGGTCAACATGTAGAAAATAAAACGATGAACATAACGGTAAAAAAATCGCACGAAACAGAAAACGGGAAGGGGCTCACCGAAGGAAGTTGTGGGTTTTTCTGCGACGGCGAAGTCGGACTTTGTCCGCGATTTTTGCCTCACCCGCATTTCATTTTGCTCCGATATGGCCACATGGGTGCTTGGAATTGAATTCTGAATGGGTATGATAATTTTTATATTTTTTAGCGGTCGGAGGTGGTTTCGGTGCAACGGTGGTCGGCGGTCGGCGGTCGGCTCTCTTCTCCAGCAACTGGTTCTTCTCCGGCGAGAGGCTACGGCTAGGGTTCGGGTTCAGTGTGATGCGAAATATTTGTACTCATATCACATTAATCTGGGTCGTTTATCGCGTTTGATTTCAATCGTTCGATCCCGCATAATGAGGAAACGAATCTAAACCGTTTATTGCGTTTAATCTTGACGATCCAATCGCGCCTAAGGAGGAAATAGATCCGGACTGTCCATGCGTGTGGAATCGCTTCTAGGTCGTTCGATCGCGGAGCACGCAGATCACCAGCGTGGCCTCTTGCATAGCACCGAATCAGCATGCCTTATCACATGGTATGCTCCAATTCGTCGGGCTTGCTGACTAAGCAATCTTATGTGACCAAATTTTTCTTATTAGCATTCTGACATCTCAATTTCTTATTTTTCTTTTAAAAATACCATCTGAAATTAAATTTTTATATTTTTTTTAAAAAAATTATTTTTAATTTCATCTCTAATATATTTTTTCATAATTTTACATTAAATTAAAATTTATTAATTTTAAAAATAAATTTTTTTATATATTTTAAAATGTTAAAATTAATTTTAGGTCTGGATATTACAACTACCACTAATTTCTAAATTCAAAAATCTTTTCCAACGTATTGAAATATTCAAATTTAACATGTTTTAAGATAATACAAGAATATGTACAAATTAACTTTAACTATTGAATTCATGATTAATTTATTAATATAATACTATCTTGGTTATGTAGTTGACATCATATACGAACTGATATTAAATTTAAATATCGTATTTAAAATTATTTGTAACAATACATTGAGTTATAAATTATTTGGAAAAGTATTGTATAGGAAGATTCCAAATAAAACAGGTAATTTACCCATACATATTTTCTCCTTGTATGTTTTTAATTCTTTTTAATCTTTTTAGTTAATTTTGGAATTATATGTTATTTAAGTATTTAATCTAACCTACAGAGAAACGATAAATGTTAAATCTAATATCTAAGAATTCACAATTATATTTTTGCTGTAATTTAGATTAAAAAATTAATATCAATATCTATTTTTCTTTCATTTTGCTATTACATATATATATATATATATATATATATTCCTCTGTTAGTAAGTCAGCAGGGTGGATCACTTAAATTTGGATCCATCATACGCACACAGAGAAACTGGTAGCTGGGTTATGAGCTTCTCACTGTTAGCAGATGGAAGCATGAGCATAACCCTCAGTTTCAGAACCCTAATAACAAAGAAGCAAACTCTTAAAACTTTCAAAACCTATTTATCCCCTAACCATCTTCCTCTTCGAATTCTCTCTTCACGTTATTTCACTTCCTACGCTATCCAAAATCGTCTTCCATCACAAGCACATAACCTGTTCGATGAAAGTTCTCAACAAGACCTTGGGCAATACAATCGCTTACTTTTTGATTGCTCTCGCAATTACCGCAACCAAGAAGCCATTAAAACCTTCTTGGGTATTCGTCGTTTGAATCTTCCTATAAATGCGTCGACTTTTTCATGTGTGTTTAAGGTCTGTGGCAGCCTGTTTGATGAGGTTGTTGGTAGGCAGGTTCACTGCCAATGTGTCAAGTTTGGTTTTATGGAGGATATCAGTGTTGGTACATCTCTTGTTGATATGTATATGAAAACAAATAATGCGGATGATGGGAGTAGAGTTTTTGATGAAATGGGGGAGAGGAACGTGGTTTCATGGACTTCGTTGCTCTCTGGATACGCTCAGAGTGGATTGAATCATATGGTGCTTGAGTTGTTTTCTAAGATGCTAATAGGAGGATTTGAGCCAAACCCATTTACGCTTGCAACTGTTGCAGGAGCTTTGGCCCATGAAGGGATGGGTGAATATGGGGTTCAACTTCATTCAATTGTCATAAAGAAGGGTTTCCAGGCAACCACCGAAGTGTGCAATTCTCTCATTAATATGTATTTAAAGTCGAGAATGGTTGGAGATGCTAGAGCTATTTTTTGGAGCATGGTGGATAAGAATGCAGTTTCTTGGAATGGAATGATTGCAGGGTATGCAACAAATGGCCTTGACTTGGAAGCCTTAAAATTGTTTTACCTTATGAGACTTGATGGTGTAGAATTAACTCAATCAAGTTTTGGCCCTCTTATTAAGATGTGTGGTAACCTTAAAGAATTGGGTTTTGCAAGGCAGCTCCACTGTAAGGTTCTCAAGGATGGGTTTGGATTTGATCAAAGCATCAGGACGGCGCTCATGATAGCTTACTGTAAGTGCAGAGAAATGTGTGATGCCTTGAAACTGTTCTCCATGATGCAAGAAGTACAGAATGTAGTGTCAAGTACTGCTATGATTACTGGGTACTTGCAGAATGGTGAAAAGGGAGAAGCAGTTAATCTATTTAGGCAAGTGAACAGGGAAGGCATTAGACCAAACCACTTTACTTATTCTGCAGTTCTAACAGCCGTACCTATTGTTTCTCCTTTCCAAATACACGCCCATGTTATAAAAGCTAATTATGAGAAGTTTCCTACAGTTGGAACTGCTCTCTTAGATGCTTATGTTAAGTTAGGAAATACCAAAGAAGCTGCAAAAGTTTTTGAACTAATTGACGAGAAGGACATAGTGGCATGGTCAGCACTATTGTCGGGCTATGCTCAGATAGGAGAGACTGAGGAAGCTGTAAAAACATTTATCAGGCTGTTGAAGGAGGGGATCAAACCCAATGAATTTACCTTTTCCAGTGTCATAAATGCCTGTGCTACTCCTACAGCAGCCGTAGAACAGGGGAAACAATTTCATGCATGTTCAATCAAATCAAGACTTAATAATGCTTTGTGCGTCAGCAGTGCTCTTGTCACAATGTATGCTAAGAGAGGTAATATTGAGAGTGCAAATGAAGTTTTCGGGAGGCAAGGGGAGAGAGATCTAGTATCATGGAATTCAATGATCTGTGGGCATGCTCAACATGGGCATGCAAACAAAGCTCTGAGTGTATTTGAAGAGATGAGGAAACAAAACATGGAAATGGATGGGATAACATTTATTGGCATCATAACTGCCTGTGCTCACGCTGGATTAGTGGTTGAAGGTGAAAGATATTTTACTATAATGAGGAAAGACCACCAGATTGATGCTAAAATGGAACACTATTCTTGCATGGTTGACCTGTATAGCAGAGCTGGAAGGCTAGAAAAGGCCATGAACATCATAAATGAGATGCCATTTCCTGCAGGAGCAACTGTATGGCGAACAATTTTGGCTGCTTGCCGCATTCACCTTAATTTAGAGCTGGGAAAGTATGCTGCGGAAAAGCTAATTTCACTTCAGCCACAAGACTCTGCTGGTTATGTCCTTTTATCCAATATTTATGCTACAGCGGGAAAGTGGCAGGAAAGAGCTGAAGTGAGGAAGTTGATGGACAAGAGAAAAGTCAAGAAAGAGGCTGGGTACAGTTGGATTGAGGTGAAGAATAAGACCTATTCATTCTTGGCTGGGGATGATTCACACCCTAGTTCAGATCAAATCTATATGAAACTTGAAGAATTAAGCACCCGCCTAAAGGATTTCGGTTACCAGCCTGATACAAATTATGTTCTTCAGGATATTGATGATGAACACAAAGAAGTCATTCTTTCCCAACACAGTGAGAGACTGGCAATAGCATTTGGGTTGATTGCCACTCCACCTGGAACTAGTCTCCAGATTGTTAAGAACCTTAGAGTTTGTGGAGATTGTCACACTGTAATTAAGTTAATAACGATGATAGAAAGAAGAGAAATAGTTGTAAGGGATACAAATCGATTCCATCATTTTAGGGGAGGCATTTGCTCTTGCAGAGACTTCTGGTGATGTTCTATTCTCGTTATATACTGAAGCTTTTACAAGAGGAATTCTAAAACTCATGCCAAGTCTTACAGATATCAGATAAGGGCTAATAGAGAATAAGAAAACACAACAAGAACTAATTGAACTCGGTTAATCATCTAAGTTACAGAAGAAAAATTAGCATAAAGTTACAAATATCACGCACGGACTTTAACTGCTGCAATTTGTTGGTATTGTCCTCATTTTTAACAGTTATGACAATATTGTAGTTGGTACTTTCTGGGGAAACCAACAAAAAATTTAGTGCACAGTATCAGGTTGTCTTTCTGGTGTTGAGGCTAGGAATTCTGGTAACACCTTGTATGATTCATAGATCCGACCTAATGTAGGGAACTTAGACTGCATAAATAGTTGGATTATATGAGCAACGAGCACTGGTATAGATGCTTAGACTGAAAACAAAAGTCGAAAACAAAAATCACTAATATGCTTTACCATATCAATATTAAACCGCACAGTTGCTATAGCAATCTGTGGAGCCAAAAATACATCAGCCTGCAAATGACAATTACCCACAAATGATTAGTCTTCGCCGAAGATCCCTGGCATATAGTCCTGTATATCTACCGATATTGCTTAAAACATCATATTTCTCATCTAGACGAGCAACATATTATATAAAGCTGAAAGTAAAGAGTTAGAGAATTATGACTTGTAACACAAGTAAGTTTGTCAATAGGCAGAATAAACAAAGAATAACATATTGTATAGATGTATTGGACGATATGTATATATGTAGACATGTAATGACAGTATATAATCCCCAGTCATACTAGACTGTCATTGCTGAATAACATAGAACTGAAACTAGTCTAACTGTAGTAAGGGATAACTGAGATATAGAGCATTATGAACAAACCATATACACTTCATCTCCTGTAGCATATCTACTGGCAAAATCTTTAACCAACAACTCAAGAGCTGCATAATTGCATTAAGAAGCTCAATTAAGTATATATCAGAAACCAACCTCCTGAAATTGAACACAGACGCAAAGACAACAACATTTAAGAATAGAAAGAGTTCACACACCTCGAAAACCTCTTTCTATACTCGATTGAGCCCACAACAAGCTCTCTTCACGGCCAACTTTTTCCTCGAGTTGTTTCTATCAAATACAGAAGAAGTGACACATTTAAATTTAACAAATGTATGCAAAAACAAGAATATAATGCAGAAAACGATATATACCAGCACAGACAACATATGAAGAGGCTGTATGCTAGAGCTGATAATGCTGGAGACCTGCCACACGTTAAGCTAATTAGTATTGCAGCCCGTGAAGAACATAACAGTGCAGAAACTGCACTTACACCAAAATATTCTTCTTATTACAAGAGTTATAAGGTATATGACTCCATAAATCCCTCCAGAGTCCATATTAAAGTATGAATAATTGATTGGACTCTTTCTTATCTATTTAAATTTTTGGAATAATTGGTTTAATATATTATTTAATAGATCATACGCTTTCACATCACTTTAAGCTTTTCTTCTTCTAATAGATTTAGAACAAATAGCTTGAACAAGAATTTCTAAGGTAATAATCTTATTGAAAAATCCACCAAACATTATCAAGAGTCCAAACCAAAATTCAGAACAACTGCTGGCCGGGATTTTACCTGAAGATTCAGGGCTCTTCTTTGTGGATCAGTAGGTAAAAGGGCTCTTTGTGGGTACTTCTCTTCCAAATACTAGGCAAGAATAGGAAGAATAAGTAAATTTTTTAAGCTTAGACATTGAAACAAGTAAAGAGATATATTTTAAAACATTCCCAGGCCACAAATACCAGACAGCATTTAAGAAATGATATATAGTGTCCAGAAATGTCGTTATGGTTAATTATTAGAGACTCCTGAATCGAAAGCCTCATTGCGGAAAGACCAACCCGACATTTTCCTCATGATACAAATTCAACACTATTATTGGGGAGTGTTTGTTTTGCTTAAAAACTTATATAATGGCTTTTCCAACAAAGAACACCTACCAGCAAGATTGCATAAGAGTCTGAGATCACCACATTGCCATCAACTAACACGGGCACAAAGTGCAGAGGATTTAACTTTTCAAACTCTGCAACTCAAACTTACTTTCCATTAGTTCTTCCTTTTTGTATCAAGATGACTTAATTACCTTCCGTTAGTCATTCGTTCTCATATTAATAGATATATAAGTCTCCATACCTATGCGCATAGACACAATCAAATTATAAGGTAGAAACAAAAGTGACTATGATAAATAACCAACGTATAGTCACAAACAAATACATGTCTTTATACCAGTCATCACTTGAGTAGATGATTGGTACGTCTCTTCTTTTATAAAAAGTTATAGGTTCAAAATGATACTTGCATTTTTAAGGTATTTTTGTAAAGAGATTATATTATGATTGATGTGTATGTTTCATCTAATTAGTGAAATGTATGAATCTGCGTCAGTTCGTGATTGGGCTGTTATAGTCTGATTTGAATTAAAATTTAAGAGACAGCACAAGATAAATATTGTGACTTCCAAACCCACCTGGACTGAAGTGCTCCCCTTTTGCAAGGTTCACTGCTTTGTACTCATAGGAAAGCCCTGAAATTGATCAAACCCAGATACTCTTATTCATCCAAAGTAACCGATAAATTATGACGACAAGCACAAAAAGGAAAAGGCATCGGATGGAGGAACGCAATTGTCAACCTTTTAAGTTAAAGGCGAATCGAACACGCCATGAGCAGGAGCTCTGCCAGAAGGAAAACAGCACAAGCCTTGAATAACCTGAATCTTCAATATCTTTACTCTGCAAATTCAAAACCCAGCAGTAAAGAGCTTGAACAATATCTAAAGAGATCAGTTAAAGAAAGGAATCAACAGGAAAACAATGATCTCCTAGCTTCTGTAAGGAGATAGTTGAGATGAATTTTCAGAGTGAAACCCTAATTGGAGAAGATTAATACCTGGGTGTCGGCATCCATGATTGATGGCTTATCAAATATGGCGGAGTGAAAAGCTAGACTGATCTCAGTTCCAGGATCGTCTACCTTCTACTTTAAAATATTAAAGAAGAAGAAAAGAACAAGACGAAGACCAAAAGTCGTTGACTTTACTGTCTTTGTTTGCCAACCAATTACCATCCACCATCTTTGGACTAAGTTAGTCGAAGACAAAATTCAAACATGAACCTGTAAGGACGTTGACTTTTGCGTCAGTTCTTCACTTGTGTCTTATTTACTTCTAATGATATCAATTTATTATTTTTATTTCATTTACTTCATTTTATATAAAATTAAATTACAATAATTAGTTCGGTATTTGTCTTTAAAAAACGAAATTATCTGGTGGTGCATGTATTTTTCGTAATTCAAATATTATTTTTGTTACTTGTGATTAAAATGTAACGTTTCCCCCCAACCCCCCCCAACTAAAACTGATAATGTGGTATGTTGGATTTATTCACAGTTAGACTATAATTTTTTGTTTTAAAAATAAGAATATAATCGAACTAATTTTTAGTTTCTTGCACAGATTTTAATAAAATACAAAATAGAATTTACTCGGTTAATATACAAAAATAATCAGTATTTTTGTTTCTATAATAAACTCAAGACTCACAAAATTAATAAACATGTTCTAAAATTATAATCTACCTCAGGGTAATAGTAATTTTTTATTTAAAAAAAAAAAATCTTTTTTATCAATTAATAGTGGATTTATATATTCAAATTCAAATTTTATATGTTCTAATGAAATTTAAAACGTATTTTCTCAGTTTGACTCAAAATTGTTTGTAATATTAATTTTATCATTTTTAAAAATTGTACAAAATAAATATAAATTTCCAAAAATAAAGTTCATTTGTGGCAACCGTAGCCTTAAAAGTAAATGGCCAATGCAAAAATGCCTAAAGGGCCTAACACAAACTATTAATCATAAATAAACATGGCCTTCCTTACTCATTAAGGATTTTCTTTTTTTTTTTTTTTTTTTTTTCTTCCTTAAGTTGGTTCATTTTGCCAAACTAAGTATCGAAAGAAAACCTATACCGTTCTTGAAAAGTTTACAGACCGACCTGAACCAACCCCAATTCTGCCAAATTTAAGCTATCTACAATCTTCAAAATTCTATATTTATAGATGGAAGTACCCTACTGCTCGAATTTTGGCTCAGTTTTAACCAGAAAGCTTCTAGCCTCCTCCTCTGAAACATCACTGTTCAAGAACACAAAACATAAAAATAAACAACTGCTGGAAACAATGCAAGCAAAAACAATGCATGTTACTGAATGCTACAGTTGAAACAGCTTGGAATTGTTCGGGATGCAATTTTTATCATTTTGTAAGGAACTTGCATCTCTCATGCTTAAGAAATTGTGAATTTTTAGATGAATTCTATAAATAAAATTCTCTTGTTCTGAACTGAGCATAAAAGGAAAAAAATTTGTAAAATGTAGGGACATGGAACCTGTCTACAGCTTCTGTCTTGGAGATCAAAGTGACTTTTGCCGATGCCAGAAATTCCAAGAAAGCACCATGGCCTTTTGCCAAGCAGAGTTTCTGAAGATGGTGTAGGAAATCATTGAACTCCCCTGGTTCCTGCAAAGAAAGAGATTTACAAGTTAACTAATTCAATCTGAGTCAAATTGTCACTAGGGTCACTTAAACAATTTCATAAGCACACAAAGAGAAGCTACATCACTTCACGGTTAATAGGATAAAGAAGAATTCTTTTGTACATAAGTTTTTTTTTTCTAATTTTCATTTTCTTTACTTGATATGCTCATACAGAAAATTTTCTTAATTGAAAATCAAAACAATGTTTAGAAAATAACAGTTACAATGTTATATGAATTTGAAAAATATTAGAAAGCTATTATTTATATATTTTATGAAATTTCTATTTACAATTGAGTAGCATATATATGCATATTAACGTACCTGTCTATGCATAAACATATAGGTTGAGAAATGAAAGGTAGAAAAAAAATGTAACTAGAAGACTAGTATCTTCACTTTGTTCACTCAAGAGTTTTGTAGGCTACAGAAAATTTTGATTGTTGTAAAACTACCTGTTCATATATTCACGCATGTTTTTTACCTTTGATGTGATACATGATACTAAACTAGTTTTGATACATATCATTCCATTAAACAACAGATTTCAATCTCCAAATTCATTCAATTAAACAACAAATTTCAATCGCCAAAATTAACAGTTCATGAAAGATTAGCACCAAGGTTGAAGATGCTCAAATCCGGAGTCGGGGAAAAAATTTCAAAAGCATTTGGATCAGAGTTAAAAGAAAAAAAAAATTGACAGACTGACTGAGTTCAAATATCCAGCAGTGGATAAACTCCAAAATCAAAGTTGACCAATATGGCTTATCAAGAACTACAACTTGACAGTTGGATGAGGCCATGAGAAGAATGTTCATCATTTGTCTCCAGCATATAGTTCAAGGGCTTATCCAAGGAAATTATTAAGCCTTCAAGCAATAAAATGAGACCACAGAAAGATTGAGACGACCATCAAAACTTTTACCAAGACATTTTGGATCCCAAAGCCAAAAGATAGGGAAGGCGAAATTTGTGTGGGTGTATACAGACATACATATATCTATATATATATATATATTAAATGCCAAAAAATTGGTACCTAAGTTCATTGCAGCCTACACAAAGGCAGAAGAAAATAACCAGAGAGAAGCATGTCAATTATCCATACCAGAAGGTAGCAGATTAGCAGCAATTATTCATGGAACATTATTTTAAAAAAAATTATAGTGAAGCATAAATCTAAACAGATAAACATACTTGTTCAAGGATGCAGCCTTTGCGAAGGGCAACTAAACACTCCATAGCTATAGCAAAATAATTATTTCCTTCTTGGGAGTTTTCCACCAGGTTAACTATTTTATTTTGCATATCCTTAAGGGCTTTAGCAATCCAATCGGCACTATCTCTGCGTGACATCATTGCTTCAAAATCCTGAACTGGGGTCATATCTCCAATTTTCTCAATCTTGGCCAGAGGTTCCTTTTCAATTGAGTTCACAACCTTAAAATCAGTTGGTATATCTTCATAACCATCTTCTTCATCTGACCCAGATGGCTTTTCTCGCAATAACCGCCTAGCCGATTTCTTCAGCTGCAAGGGAAATTACATTTTAGTACATGATATAACTGGAAGCAGCACAATTATCTTGCTTTTCTTCAAGATAATACAATAAAATCACCTTTTGATTCTCCCGAAGTTCAAAGCACTTATAAAAGGCATCAATGGTGGACTGACTTTCAGAAATAAGTTCGGGATCTGGTTCAACAATTTTCTTGAGAGCTTGGTCAAGTGGAGGTACAGCAGAATCTGGGTGCTTTGATTTCAACTCAAGATGACGATAAAATCGCTGGTTACATGTAACATGTTCCGTTAAGTCAGAAGCCGATAAGCAGTGTTAAAAGAAGCAAAGACTAACTTTCACCATTATTCAAACAGAATGGGGAACAGATTATCTACAGGGAACAGACTATTTTTCTCCATTTTTCAAACATAACCAGTGAAAACAAAGTTTACCTCTAAAACAGGATTTGGTGTAAAGTCAGGCTGCAAATATTCCTTTTTTCCAGATGTTGTAAGATCCAACATCATTACCAAGTTATCTGCTGCTTCTTGTTGCTGTTCGTTGGGCTGCCATGAAGCAGGAAAGTTGCTGAAAGAGGTGAACTGAAACTCTCGAACATCCTCCGCAAAAGGAAGTGCATTGAAGTAAAAGGAACCAGGCTGCGCAGATGAACCAGCAAATAAAACTTCACAATAATACAAACTGAAAAAGAACAAAGAACTGAGAATGCACAAATTAAGAGTGATAAGCAAACAATCCACCAAGAGACTTAGTGATGAAACCTACAACATCATCTCTTTCAGATGCATGGGGTGTCAAGACCCCCACAACAACATTCCCCTGCCCTTGTCTCCAGACGCAGCGCAAAATTCCAACCTTGTTCATTTCCTTCATCGCCCTCGCAATGGCAGAAACCGCAGTGATAGCCCTTACATTGCCCGGTTCCGCAATAAAAATATTGACATCTTTCATGTAATGGTGCCTTTGATTAAGATGATGGTAAAGAAAAAATCTCAATTAGTTTACCATTTTGATAAATATCAACCAAATATGCATATATATGACAGAAAGCATCTATGTCTACCTCATCACGTTTGAAGCATTAGTAAATCCCAGAAGCTTTACACCCTTCTCTGTCTTAAATTTGACAGCATCCCACTCAGCTGATGATATAGGAACTACTTGAGGTCCATAGCGATAGCCTTTAATCCTTTGCTCAGGGGGTACAACTTTACCAGAGTTTTCAACATTCTTATATTCATAATCCACTTTAACTTCGTGTGTGGCAAATTTATCAGTTGTAGGTGCTCTATCAGAATACTTTTTCAGGGTAGGGAACTTCTCCTCAGATGTTTTCTTGTAAACCCATACCTACCAGGAGTTGAAGTCATAGGAATATAAATTATTATCCATAAGAAACTAAAAATACTAGCATATAGAGATTCACAAGAGTTTTGACACGCATAAAAATACTAATTTTAATAAGAATATGAAAGATGCAAATTAGGTGCCACTTCATAAACTAGAACATTTAAAAAAGATACTTTCCTAAAACAGAAAGGAAGCAAACAAAACTACCTATATGCAAAAAGTAACACTTGTAATTAATCAACTACATGAAGTCATAAGAAATAAAAGCCAGACAACTACAGACATAACAACAGAAAGCTTACCTTAATCTTCATTTTTGGGGTGAGTTCAAGGTCACCCCTGAATATTGTAACTGGAGAGATGTTTCGAGTTCTAACTGCACCCAGCAATGAAGTTGGGTTGTCAACGTACACTGTTTTTCCACGTGCTTTTTTTGGAAACAAATTCAAAAGAAAATAATTTTCATTAATTGTTGTAATGTTAGCATTCTCACTTAACTTTCCCCTCATAATGATGCTCTCCATTCTTATGCCTTCAGCACTCATTCTTTCAGCTAGGATACTTGCTTGATCTTCTTTTGTTCCTTCATATGGATCTTTGATAGGACATAGTGCATTTGTGATCAGACACAGACGTTTCTTTCCTTTGTTTGTTGATCCATATTTCTTTATCAGCATATCCATCCCGACAACAAGTGCATCAAAGACTAGGAAAGTTAAGATATGTACCATGCAATAAATAAGGTATGCCATGATAAACAAAAGTCAGTCAATTAACTATTGAGAGGATTTCAATTCTTAGTGAATATCTAGTTAAACTTAGAAATGGTTTTAAGCAATAGATTAGGATGAAACTTTTCAAAAGAAATTGTCAGACTAATACCAGCAAGAGAGCTAAGTAATACAGTATTCATATATTGCAAGACTTTTGCCAATGTTAAAACTGGGGCTGCAAATAAAGCAAGATGTTAGTCAAAAGACTCACACTAAGCTTGAAATGAAGCTCCACTCAGTATGAACTGCTGCTTAGTTCTAAACAAACCTACTTCACGTCATCATGTAAGCTTGCTTCCTATTCATACACGTACTTAGATCAATAGAACATTATGATCAATAGGTTCAATTTCTTTCAAATTTAATGTTTAAACTTTTTTTTGTTACAGGCAAGCAATTGCCTGTCAGGAGTTGAGCTTGAGTCACCCTGTGGGAGACCAGAAAGTGATAGATGGGACCAAATCCCAAAGGTCACAATCAGTTTAGAGTTAAATTTGATGCCCTTGAATGTTAACTATTTTACTTATGAGTAATAAGTGTCAGTTTTCATTAGATTAATAATTCAAAACTTTTTAGTCATTGTTTACAATAGCTTTTGAGCCAGTATTTAGTTTTCATTAGATTAAAAATTCAAGACTTTTTATTCTTTGCTTGCAATAGCTTTTTGGTTAGTATTTATTTATTCAAACCTGAACTTTAAGGAATCAGCTTACAAGCTCAACTCAATATGTTTGCATTAGTTGACCCATTCTAGTCGAGCGCAAGTAATTTCACATAAAATAAACTGAAGTTAAACAGCAATATCAAAGATTCTTCAACCTTAAAATTCAAGATAGCGAAAGCATCAAACCATGTCCAAGCAACCTAAATATTTGGTCAGCTTAATTGTTAGCGTCCCAAGCAAAAATTAAACACTAACACAAATCCTACACCAGCAAGCATGTACTTTTTGGTTGACAAAAAGGAATAAAATTGTCAATATATTATAACACTTATGATCCATTTGCAGAGCACAAACCTGAACAAGGATAAAGTGAAATTATAGGATACAATCCCCATCAACAGTTCCTTGAGGAAGCTGTTGCATAGAATCAAGGAGGTCTCCATCAACAACTTTGATATTTCTCAAGACCATAATATTGCCATATCCACCCACTTCCTTCGTAAGCTCATTGTTAGTCTCTAAAGATTGCAAGAGAAGATTGTCAACAAGGATTCCTTCAGATCTAATTTAACAGGAAAATATCCTCATCCTGAAAAATATGAAGCACTAAATCCACCAAAACTACAAGAAAATAGGAAACCTTTTTCATTCATTGTAAGGCATGTGAAGATGGGTACCCTAAACAATATGGGTAATCAACAAATCCAATGCCAACATAGAACACAGTATTAGAAAGAATGAAAGCAGTTTTTCTCTTTCATAATTCAATCGAAGAGTTCCAAATGATAGGGAAAGAAAGTGACAAAATAATATCACAAGCAGTATTCAGTAGAATAGTAAGATATACCTTCAGTTCCAAATATAACGATTCCAACTTCATCACTTTTGCTGTATATTAGCTGCGTATAGAAAGGCAATTAAAGTAATCATTGATAAAAACAATAAAACACCCCAAAAACACATGCACCGTCCAAAGAAAAGGGAACAGCAAGAAAAGGAGCAAACATAAAGGAAAGAAATGACTAAGGAATTGAAAACCCAAAAACAGATACCTTCTTCTCTATTAGCATGGAGCAGACTTTTTCAACCTCCGGAAGAATCCCATGCATTGAAGGACCAACATCAAGCAATAAAACAAGTGCCTCCTGTTCTCAAACATGTGCATAAAATCCATATTCATTACCTGTTCGTATAATTTCCTAACCAATGGACTCTACAAAAAAGAAAAAGGAATTGTGTGTTTGTGTTGGGGAGGATGCTGTAACCGCTATTTTCTTATTTCGAACTATGAAAAGAAGAAATCCTGGATATAAATGAAATTCCATAGTTGGCCATTCTTATCACCATTTCCCAAAGGACAATCTAAGGTCGCCTGGTTTTAATCTATCGAAGCATTTCATAATTTCAAACCCTAGATGAGAGACGGCTAACTGATGCCATAAACGATAGACTAAAAGTCCTAGGTAATAATAACATAATTTTGGAGCACGAGAACATTCGAAGACGCCAAATTAACAAGAACAATTAGCTAAAAATTCACCTCGCAATGAAACAAGAATTCATTGCATCATTTAAATAAAAAGAAAAAAAAGAGACCAATTTAGCGTCATGACGAACATGAAACCAAATGAGTAAACAAAAAAGAAAACGAGTACAAATCACATAGAAGAACATCTGGACACCTGATGAGAAACTAAACTAGAATAAACTTGTGACATGGGATAGAGAATGAGAGAACCATAATCGTTTTCTTACTCTATTCCGAGCCATGGAGAAAGGAGAACGAGAGCAGACCAAAACTTGTTGCAGAAGCTGGTGGTAGCGGGGGTTTGCACTTTTTTAAATGGTTGACGATGCTGGACACTTACTTCCTTTTACTTCTTCCCGCCTGGGGTACTAGCTTCCCCATTGTGAAACGACGCGTATTGTCACCTTCTGATTTTCTTTCCCGGAACACAGAACACCCCGTGAATTAACGGTCGTTAGATTTCTTGGGTCAGAATTTTTATATAATTTAAAATGTTTTAATAATATAATAGTTTTAATTTTTTATTTTTTTAATTTATTTCTTGACTTTTTAGTTACTGTAATTAGTTTTTTCATCTTTATTTTTTGAAATTATGTATTGAATTGACTTATTTTAAAACGTCTTATTATTAAATTTACAATGACCCGGAGCAAATTTTTTAAAAGTAAAAATATATATTTTATAATTAAGCAATATATATATATATATATTTATTATTATAATATAACATCATAACATATATATACACGTATAAAATACAGTACAATTTGAATTTACAATAAAATGTATTAGTTACTAAATTAAAAACTTTATTAATTGTTCCAATAAAAATTAAATAAAACACCTTTATGTAATATGAGTTAAAAGACAAAGATAGTAAACTTATAAGAGATTATCTTCAAAATAATATATATATTATTTAAAATATGAGAAAATTAATGATTTAGATTATATATTATTTTGTTTAAATTAATTTATTTCTCAATTTTTGATAAATTAATATTTATATTTAAAAAACTAATTTAATCTATTTATTTAATTTTCATATATCAAATTTAATAAATACATAGTTATTTTTTTTTTATAAATATGTAAGTTAATGTCATATAACATGTGTAACGCCTCATAACTGAAAGGAAGATAAAGACATGAATTGAATATGAAATGAAATAATAAAGTTAGAGTTTACATTACTTACACAAAATTTTAAAATAACCAATAGAGTTATAGGAATGACTTTTCTAAAACAAGTGAAAAATTAAGAAATAAATAAAAAATAAAAAATTAGATATCTTAGAACAACCTTCACTAACTTTTAAAGAGAGTACGGGTGGTGAACTATTCACAACCCCCTTATTGATCGGGATCTGGATATTAATTCGCTTGATCTGAAATGGTTAATGAAAAGGTGAGCTACACTAGCACAATAGGAATATCACACTACTCACCGATACAGAAATAAAAGTTGATAAAAATTATAAAAATAACTAATTGAGCTCTTAAATTAAATAAATTCATTTATTGCATATTTACCGTAGCGAAATTTTCAAAACCGACCTATAGAGACAATACCACAAACAACATCATAATCTCATATTCAATTAGCCAGAACAACAATTTTTTATTTATTTGTTTACTGGTATTCCTGAGGATCGATAGAGATGTTTAATCACGCGTGAACCCATAATAAAACTTGTCAACTAATCGGCCGTCTCCATATCCCGTCCGATATGAGCGCCAAAAGTATCTGTAATACCCATAATTAATTTTAAAATTTTTAAATTAATGTATAAAATATAATTTTTTTAATTTATGAATTTTATTTAATGTAAAAATTAGGAAAAATAGGTGAAGGAAGAAATTGAAAATAATTTTGAGAAAAATGGGTGAAAATTTGGGTTCTGGGAGTGTTTTTGAAAAAAAAATCAGAAACTGTGGGGTCAAAATATAGTTTAGGAAAAATGTGCCACGTATGACTGCCCAGTCAGCAGCCCCGACGAAGCAGAGCGTGTCGCGTGGCAAGGCACGTTGACACAGTGCCACGCGGGAGGCCACGCTAGCAATCCGCGTGCTCACGATCGGACAGTTCGAAATTATTTCTGCGTGTGTGGACGGTCCGGGTCCGTTCCCTCCTCAGGGGCGATCGTACGGTCCATATGAAATCACAATAAACGGTCCAAATCATCTCTTATTTAAACGCGATCGGATGGTCGAGATCGAACGCGATGGACGATCCAGATTAAAGCGAGACGGATATTAATACCTCACTTCACACCAAACCCTAATCCTAGTCGCCAGCCCACCCGCCGGATAAGAAGAACTAGTCACTGGGAGATAGAGTCGACCGTTGTCCGCCGCCGTGCCAGAGCCACCTCTGACCGCCAAAAGAGGTAAAAAATTTCTCATTCCTCGAAATTCGATTTTGAACACCCACATGACTAAATCGAAGCATAAGGACTGGCGAATGAGCCAGAAATCGTGGGTAAATTCCGGCGCCGCCGCCACGAGAAAAATAAAAAACCACCTCTGATGAGGCCCTTCTCGATTCCCCTTTCATGCTATTTTTCCACTATTGTATTCACCATTCTATTTTTCACAGGTTGACCGAAGATAAATGATCAACCGTAAAGGTGAGCCAGTGGAGCCACTGCACCGAAAAACTCTGTCGCCGACAAGCTTCTATTTTTTGACTTTTTTTGGCCAACCAAGGCCTCTTAACGTGTTTTCTCGCAGGGATGAGTACAAAACTGATCGAAATTGGGCGATACTTGCTGAAAATGGCTAGTCCGAGGTAAACCGTCACCACGGGTGGTGGTGAAGTCGCTAAAGCACGACGGTGTCGTAGTGCTGGAATTTCGAAATTGGCTGGAAGAGGGTTTTAATATCGATTTTTGATTTTTTTAGGATATTTCTAGGTAGTTAAAACGTGTTTTAATCTCTGAAGAAAAATTAAGGGAACCTGGAGACCGCCAGTAGGCGCAGCTGAAAGTTTAACGTTCCGACACCAATTCGAGTAAGAATCTCTCACCCTATTCTTTGTTATGGAATTGAAGTTTAGTTATAAATAATGTAATATTTTGTACAATTTAGAAAATTTCGATAATTAATCACATATTACTAATGGAGCCGGAACTGGTTATTATTGATTGTTGATTCTGTTTGATTGATTTTATTATTTCAAATGCATAATATTACACTAGAGTTGATATGATGATTCACTTGTGCTTTCTTGATGCATGTATTGCTTGTTTTGTATAATTTACAGTTAAATTGTGAAACTGAAAATTAAATGTAAATAGAAAATTGTTTGATTAAGTGAGTAAATGAATAGTAGCCTTACTGAATATCTTGTGAGATAGTGGATAGACTGAGTACATAGAGAACCCTACTGTGAACGTTGCCTCATACCGAACAAGGTATCGAGAATTGGTATTTTGACGCTCATACCGCACGGGGTATGGTGACAGCTCGTTTCGCCCTCATACCAGACAGGGTATTGAGGGATGATATTTTTAGCGCTCATATTAGACGGGATATGGGGACGGCCGATTAATTGATAATATTGAATAAGGATTCACGCATAGTGGGGACATCCCTGTGGACCCACATGGATACCAATAGGCAGGTAAAAAAAGAAAAGTTGTTATTTTGATTAATTGAATATGAGATTATGATGTTATTTGTGTTACTGTCTCTATAGGTCGGTTTTGAAAATTCCTCTACGGTAAGTATGTAACGAATGATTTTATTTATAATAAATGAATTTACTTAAATTAAGAGCTCCATGAGTTATTTTTATGATTTTTACCAACCTTCATTTCTGTCTCGGTGAGTAGTGTAACATTCTTACTAGATTAGTATAACTCACTCTTTCATTAACCATTTTAGATTAAAAGGACCAAGACCCAGATTTTAATCCACAAGAGGGTTGTGCATAGAATGCCTAGTTGTTTACTTTTCATTTATTTTTTTGATTTTTTCGTTGTTCTTTTAAAATATTCCCGTAGCCCTATTGGGAGAATATAAATTCCTAACACTATTATCTCACTTTCGTATTCAATTTGTAATTTATTTTCTTCTATGTTCCAGGCCGTTACAATTAGTATCAAAGTTGCGTTCTTCAGAAATATTCCTTACACAAAAATCCTAGGAAGCACCAAAGAATGAATTATCACTTAATCATTTCTTGTGAAATGCAGGTACAGATAGATTAGTAAAGGAAGACCCCCACTAAATCGAGCAACCTGGGAAGGTTCAATTCGAGAGGATGTTGACCGATTATTTGAAATGCTGGAGAGATTCATCACTGCCCAATAAGCTTGGGAGGAAAGGAGGGAGCTACCTGACCCTCCCCCACTACCATAGGTTGAGCCACCCCTGTAGTGGGAGGATCTTGAGCCACCCCGGTATGACTCTGCTCCTCCACAGTACCATCCGATACCACCACAGTATGATCTGGTGTTTTAACCACAATACCACCCGACACCACCACAGTATAGTCTGGTGCCCCAACCGCATCACCCGACACCACCACAGTACAATTTGGTGCCTCTATCGTATTATTTAGTACCACCACAGGGCCATCCAATCCATCCCTACCATAATCCAGTCCCTCTTCCACATGACTCAATTCCTCTCATGATGGACCAAGACTACATTGAGAGATATAAATGACTAAATTTATCTACTTTTACAAGAGGATCTTCTTTTGAAAAGGTCGAGTTTTGGTCAGCTGAGACAGAGAAGGCTTCCACGACTCTTGGGATAATTCCCGAACAGAGAGTCATACTTGCCATCTACATACTAGTGGGAGAGGTAGACCGCTGGTGGCAACTCAAGTAGGCCACCCTGTCCGTTCCAGTCACTTGGGAATAATTCTTGATGGCCTTTAATGTAAAGTACCTCTTAGAGTATCTCCGACATCTAAAGGAAATAGAGTTTGCACACCTGGTCCAGAATGACATGACTGTATTAGAATATGCTTGAAAGTTCCTAGAGTTGGGTTGGTATTTTCCTGAGAGCATGATGGATGAAGTCAGAAAGGCAAGAAAGTTCGAATGGGGTCTCCGTCCTGAGATCAGACAACAGTTATATGTGTTCGAGCTCAGTACTTACTCGGTTGTTCTGGCCAAAACATAGCTAGTAGAGAGGAACCTTTACATTTTTCCTCTAGTAGTAGGGAACCTCAAGCCCTCGGTTTCACACCACAGACTAGCACTTAGTACACATGTTCAGTAGAACAAGAGAATTAGCCCGATGACTCAGGCTCCTCCTTAGATTCCAACAACAAGATGCGGTAGGACTTATCAACATTGTGGCAAAGATCATGGTGACCTGCCCTGTTATCGCCTCAACAATAGTTGCATATGTGGGAGTGCCCAGCATTACGCGAGGGAGTGCCCGA